AGTCCATTGGTTGCTGTGGTCTAATTTATTGTGTCCAAAGCACTGTACTTAGGAATTTATTTATCATCATGCTTCTATTATTTTGGGGTTTGAGCTGCGCTCTTGAATTGGTAAAGAGAAATGCTGCTGCTTAAGAATAAGTCTTCTGGAAGACATTGGTGGAGACCGGTACTTAATGAATCGGACAGAGATTCCAACTGCTGTTTCTGTAATCCCGTCTGACAACAAAGCTTCACATTTTGCATGGGAAGACAGGCACTGCCCAGTTCTAGTTCTTTATACTGTGCCAATCGTCGTCAAGCTTCTTTTTATTTCTGTGACATTCAAAAAGATAATTAATCTATGTTATAGAAAAGAGACGAGAAGACCCGATCAAATGGATGATAGCAAAGGAGTAAGATAAATCTAAGTCTTCGTTTGATTATAGTGAAATTCTTTTCTCGAATTTTTCTACCACCGGACTTGACTAGCACAACACCTTCAAAATTCAAGACTATCTTTCAACCCTCTGTCTCTTTTAGCCTTTTGAAAGGGCCTCCCGGCGGTTAATCAAAAGAAAAAGACCTTGGCATATATGCCGAGGTCTTTTTCACGGCAGCGTTCACACTTTTACTTTTTATGTTTAGGGTCGGCCGAAGCGAGACACTCGACCAAAGGGAGAGGGAAAATTGGTGGAAATAATTTGAAATCGACATATCATATCAAAAATAACAAATGTGTATAGCCTATATCAATCATCCTAATTAGTATGGATATTTGAAGACATATTAGATAATGTGATTGTTGTTCATATCATCTCACTATCCACTGCTTTCTGTATACTTGATGTAACTTTTGTTGTCACATAATTGTGTGTGATTCCAGTCAATTGTAACCATATTAATATATTAAAATGTATTATAATAAAAATCACATCTTGAATGGAAATATTTTTTCTGTGATATCGTTTTGTACTTCAGATAGCAGCCAGTCATGTGGAGTACTGTTGCTTTTAAAGATCTAACATAATCAAATGTAAGTAACAAAGATGAATATAGAACCAAGCTAAGTCCCAGCCTAATTAATTTGGGATAACTCGATGATGCATGTAAGAAAACCCTTGTGCTAAAGTTAAGATCCATCAGCCTACGATGTCACTAGAGTAGGAATCTTAACAAATATTAGAAGATGAGTAGATACACTAAAAAATAGTTTCAAATTTGCCACAATTGTCAATTTATCCAGGAAAGTTATCAAGACGAATCAATGAGCAAAAAGATGAAATTTTATGTAAGGTTTTGCTCCTCTTTTATATCATAATAATAGTTGTTAAAATAATCATGCATCCAAAATCATTAATTATGAGATTGTGAATAATTTCAATCATCTCAAGCTTATTTATATTTGCAAAATAATTTAAGTATAAACAGAACAGTATAAGCTGATTAAAATAATTGATGAAAATTTCATTAAATTTAAAATTATTATGATATGTTCAGTTTTATCACTACACTCCAAGCATTCATGATCAAATGTATCTATAATTACAATATTTGAAAGACTGTATAGAGTAATATAAATGCACATTCAATTTAGATCGTGATATTGATGTGAAATATAGATAATAGTAGCTACAAAATAGATAATCTGCCACATAACTTTTTTTTATATAAAGATCAATGATATGCAATATTTCATTGATTTGTGTCTTAGATACAAAGTAAGGAACAAAGTATTTATATCAAATGAACATGTATAGAATGAATGTTCAGTATGTAGAAGTAATGCAACATGTTAGAAGCTCAATATGAGCAGAAATGTACAATGGAATCATGCATTCTAGTTTTGACATCTTGGCCTGTAATGCAAATTAAAGAATTTGGTACTAAAATCATAAAAGCTTTGTTTAATCATATCTATGGGTTGCAGAGTGTATATATCACTTGTTGAGGAATGAAACACACAACATAAGGTGAGAAAGTCAAGTATTGGAGAAATAATCAAGAATAAATTAGACTGAATCATATCATGTTTAGTTCCCATTACATAAAAATTACTTTGGAAGTAAAAAGCATGATAAATTGCAGCGTAATCTCATACAATAAGTCAAAAAAATAAAAAATTTTGGAAGCAAAAATCAGGATACATTGCAGCGAGTAATTTTTTTTTTACTTATATAAAACATGAGTAATGTTTCATCACTAAGTTGATATCTATAGAAGAATAAGAAAAGGTATCAACATTATCTGTAATGTCGAGGTGAAGAATGTGGATGTGATTGCATACCCATTTTTGAGTGTTTAAATTAAATTATTTTGGCATCTTTTTTTGGTGATTCTATATAAATTGCAACGTAATGGAGGTTACATGAAACAGCAAATACAATCATAGCTAGCATTAATAGAACTTTTAGAAAACGTGGCACTGCCATATCATTTATCTTCCCTACTTGCACAGCTGTAACTACTTGAAACCTGCTATCACAAAGTAACAACCAGTTGAAAGTTCATGTGGAATATACCAATCAAGTTGCAGGAGAGACTTGAAAGAAAATGGTGTATTAGAGTCAAAACATCGTACTAAAATATCTGACTATGTGCGCTAGTGAAAACTATCTCGGAATACTAGTAAAATTGTTCTTTGTTTCTCGACTTTTATCAAACAGCCTGGCAATGTGTGAAAAACTAACATAATAACGGCTTCCTCAACTAGTGTACGATCTCGAATTCACTCCTGCGACCCTATGTAATTGAATATCTGCCTAAACAAATCATTGTCAGTCAATGACTACACTGTCCAAGTAATATTAAGGCTTGATGGGCTTGACAATCTTCTTTTTGCTATTAGCTTCGTACATATCCATTTTAAGATCTACCTTGTCTGAGCAGAATCGAGCACTTCAATAATTATTCTTACAATTCTAGAAATCCAACGGGAAGCCAAGTGAATAGCAAAAAGGAGTAAGGAATCTATTTGTGACACGATACCACTAAATTCGCATCCTGCCCGGGAAAAAGCTCCGGTAATGTCCCTGGAAGGTACCGGCCAAAGCGGTCGACGAGACGCTTCCCGTGAAAGTGTGGGGTCCACATTCCAGAGAATGATCGGAACGCAAGACAGCATGTTCTGGAAAAACACCGGTGCCAGCCGGTTTCCCCCTCCCACTAGCTGTTCCAGCGACGTAGATCACATGGATCTCCACCACGATGGTACGTGCGCGTTCGACACCTGTACACAATATCGATTCGTTCCGAATCGATATTTCGAGCCCGGCCCGGGCTCTACGGTCACCCGAATGGGCATGAACGGGTTCTCGCACAGGACACGTGGCCCGAAATGTGCTACCACGGATCGAGCCGCGCGTGTTTTCCGAGTTCGTTCGGGATGCCACCACGTGAAGTTCAAAATTCAACTGGTCGAATCGTGGCCCTTGAGTGGACCCATCGGACGGCTAGATCCCGGATCCGAGCCCCGGTGGTTCGAACGAGGTGGATCCTGCGTCAGTGTACTGTTGCGGTCTACGGCGTAAGCGCCACCCCCCTCGCAACGTCCACTCCTTCCGGTCCTCTCGTCTCCTTGTCCACTTTGCTAAATCCGCGGGTCGACGATCGATCGATCCCCCGCCAGATTCCCTATTGCTACGCAGCTTTCGCTGTGCAGGAAAATCTACGGTACTCTCGAGATGGGGGTCCGGGCATGAGCACTCACTCACTACTCGCGGAGTACGACGGGGTAGATGGGTTTAATTGAATAGAATTGAACTGAAGTAAATTGGACTGAATTAGAATGAATTGGATTGGATTAAATTGAATTGAATAGAATTGATTTGACGGACCCGGGAATCTGGGTCCGAATCGGCCACGGTGATGAATAAGATGATGGTTGGGCGGTTTGTACGTCGGGGCTCTTTCGTTCGGATCACGTCTGGGCATGTACTCGCCTCGTAACCTCAACGAAATTATTTACTGCGTCTTATTGGGTACTTTCGGGCTTTGCGTGATGGTGAGGCTTGGTGGGAGATGCTGGGAGTTATGGGCGTGCATGGATAGAGCGAAGCGGGAGGGAAGTATGGGGGAATGGTGGGGAAGGAAGAGCACGCCGCGCTGGGGTTTGAGCCAGGTCGTTTGAAGGCGAGCCGGGGCGGAAGTCTCGCAGTAGGAAGGGCGGGGCAGGTCCGAGTTTCCGACAGGCATCTATGCAGTCCAACTCAGAACAGCGCGGGGTACAACAACATAATTGGAATTGGAATGTTACAGGCTCACAGCTGCTGTCATGCGAGGGCTTTGTGGATAGATTCGAAGTTCCAGACGAGGAAGAGCAGCAGGACGAGGACTGAAGGGCTGGCTGGTGGTCTTCTGTAGCGCTCCGGGCCCGGAGGTCGGAGAATGGATTTGTAGGGCGACACCCTTCTCTGAGGTGGAGGAGGCCCCGACCCCCGCCCCCCCTACAGCGGCAGAGGCCTGAGGTGAAGTGAGGTGAGGTGATGTCCCCGGTGGTGGGGCCCTGAGCCGACTGACTTTCTTCTCTTTAGGCGAGTGCGTCGGGGCTTGAGTCAAGACACGGTCGGGGTTATGTTTGCGCTGATCCGATTTACGTTTCAGCTCACGTCGTGAAGGCCAAGGATTCGGTGAAGCTCCTGCTGTTGCCGCTTTGTCTCTCTCGATTGCTTTTGACTGTTGGGAAGTCTTGGACAACTCGGGAAGTTGTGGTTGCTAAATTGGGATCGGGCCGGAGGGATATGGAGCGAAGAGCTGCCATTGCTTTGTTTTAGTGGCATCACTGAAGTGCAGTGGTTGCGTTCGATCGAACGAGCCTGCCGAGGTCGGCGTGTACCTAGTCTTGGTTGCTGGAAGAAGGGAGAAAGCATCAGAGGAGCCAATTGTGACTGTCACAGGCGCTGTACCTTTCTCGATGATGGTGGCGCTACTATCAGACTTGTGAAATTTTGATGTTCCCCAGGAACCGATTTGTGAGGACCACTTGATTGTTGACCCCACGCCGAGAGCAGGAAAGCAGGCGACCTACGCTGGTGACTCACACATCTGCCACAGCTCGAGTCTAGGATCGGATTTGTGGATAGCGCTCTACGGTTTGCTGTACTCTGGTCACCCGAGAAGGAGGAGTGTTTGAGGTCTGACGTTCACTACGTCTAGGAGTTCTTGCCGGGTTTCTCAGGAGGATTATTACTCAGAGTGATGATTTCAATCTCTTGATCCCTCCGTTCTTGCAATTCTCCTGTTTAGAGCACAGGGAGAAACTCGCAGAGGGTTGCCCCGGGCATGAGTTCAGGATCATCGAACTCCACGCAGAAATGTTGCCGATGTTGGAGTTGCGCTTTTCCGGGTCTTAAGTCTAAATTGGAAGCTCTCGCGTAGAGGCGGGTTGCCATGCCGCTTCCATTCGTACTATATTTCGCTGTCTGAGAACTCCTGGCGCACAGAGGCAGCTGGCTGAGTCCGACATCACCATAACCATATTCTTTGCTCAAATCGATGGGTGTGTTATGTGTGCCGCGTCGATCGCTGAAGCCATCTGATCATACGCTGCTTGTACCGGTGTCGTTGTCGATGCGAGTGTCTCAGCCAATTTTGGGTCTAGAGTTGCCCGTATCTCGTGAGGAGACGGAGACCTGTTTCTGGCAGCTTCACTTCGTCTATGATTTTCCTTCTTGATTGGGTCCAATGGACACAACGTACACCATCGAATTTTCCTACACTCGGAGCACGACCGAAGTAGACATGTTGGGCATGGATTACCCGAGCAAGGCGACGGAGAAAGGCATTCCTCCTCTGGCATATCAGATTCTAACAACAACAGGTGGGGTAGCTGTTATCTGGTGTATTTTTCATCATGTCTGGTACGTTTTGGGCGGAGTTGGGTTCGCATTGGGTTTGACACTTCTGGACTACAAGTGCAATGGGCCACGATCAGTTCGAGAGCATTGTCATAGTCTCAAGTATCTTTTCGTCGTAGTGGGTGGGAGCGTCTCCACATGGCTCGTGAGTAATCACCCCTGGTATGTGGTCACCGGTGCTGTCTCTGCGGCTGTCACCAACTGGTGGGATTTTACCATGACATACAGTGCAGAGTTTCCGTCTCTATTCCTCTCTGTGGGGGTTGGATCACACGGCTACACTCAGTGGATTCTTTTCAATTACGTTTGGAGTCGATATCTTCTCTTCGCACTTCTTGTGGCAGTTTTCATCGTCAGGTTTAATGACGGGTTTGTGGACTACTCCTCCAGAGCCACCTTGGGAGGTAGGTCGTATTTCTGATCAGCAGTGTTTCTTTGTGATTTCCATCGACTTCTTCTTTCAATGATCTGGCTTTACACTAAGCACTGGCTTTCTATAAGCTCGTATACCCTACGTCTGAAGATTGCCGAACTTTGCATATCATGAGAGTTCAATTTACGAGAAGTTCTGCTAGATGTGATGGCTGATGAGTTTGCCCCTGTTGGTTTTAAGTCATCGAGGAAAGTGTTAGATGAAAGCTATTTATATGAAATGCATGACCGTGAAAGAAGTATCAACATTAGAAACCTCAACCTCTGTACAGCAAAGAATGCCGTCCGCAATAAGCTAAGTAGGCATACATGACGGCTGTGTTTATGCGCTCAGGGAGCAGAGGTAGCGAACGTGTAAGTCCGCATTTCTTGTTGTTGAATGCGAAGTGTCAATAAAATGGGCGAAGAGTATCGTCTGTCACCCAGTCTAACACCTCACCAAAAATCTGTGTGAATGTGTCGTAGGCTTTTTTACAGGAGTTCTATGGCTTCTTGTGAATTACTCCTTCAGTCGTTACGTCCTAGTTGGGGTGGCTTTCGCCTCAGTGGCGAGCTGGGCGAATCACAAGCCCACGACTCTCACAAGAAGTGGTTTGATTGCAGGTGAGGGTTGTTGCCTCACATACATTGTATCTATAGAGTATCTATGTTTGATTTGTGTTTAATAAATCACAGCCTAAAGACTCAAGTAAAGAACCTTGAAATTGTATATAGCTCTTCCGCGTCAAACTGGTAGTGAGGAGTTCCATTCGACCATCCAAAAACCCAGTTCGGCTCTCAAAAGAGGTTGTGGCTAGATATCATCGCCTGCACTTAAAGTGCCGTGCTCGTACTTGAAGATGGAGGCCAGCGCTCCTTGTTCTAAGGTCATTGTTTCTTACATAAGCCCGTCTTGGACACGACAGGGGCAGTTGGTGGAATCTGCTGGCTCCTTCTGCATCACTCTCTTAGTTGGTACTTTTTCTTCGGGTACTGTCTAGCCGTTGCAATCCGTTCGATGACGACGACTCCGGATATGGCATTCTGGTTCATAGCCGGAGGTGGGGGAGCTGCCACTCTTTGGCTTCTGGTGAACGATACATGGTTCTTCGCCGTGGGGCTCGTCATAGCCGCAGCGTCAGCGTTGATGGCAAGCTTTGATGAAAACGACTTTCCTTTGTATACATTTTGGCTCTTCACAGGTATGTTGACGGGGTACTTGGAAACCGGCGGGCTACTCGTGTACTTGATAATAACACTTGTTGTCTTTCGATCATGGTTACACCTATTGTGAAACCCATTCCCGTTCAGGGACGTTTTGTGCTTATGTTCATTCTGAGAGCCACTTTAAGTATCTTGGAGGTTATTGAAGAGAGACTGCCTAAGCGGTGGCTTTTACCTTCGAGCTATCAGCTAATATTGAGCAAACAAACTAAGCGCAAATGCTTTTGCAGGTATCGGAAGCATGTCAACATGGATATTCTTCAATTACTCAGTTGGCATAATTTCGAGCGCCTGGGATGGGCTATGGCATTACGTCGAAAGCATCTGGACATTGTACATTATATTGGGGGCCTTGACTTTCCTCTCTGCTGTCAATAGCTTGAAGTTGAAAGGTGGTCCTGCTGCAGCATGTGCAGGTATCTTCAATTACTGTTGTTGAAACGTATTATACTCTTATACTATTATACTCCTATTATACTCTCGATTCCGCAAGTTAACGAACGATATTGAAACTGATGTTGTGGATGGAATGTGCTCTCTATGTACTTATGTAACAGGAGGAGCCCTTTTCGCCGTGTATATTATTTTAAATTTCTCCTGGCCGCGGTACTCTCTTCTCGGGATGGTGGTCGCTTGCTACGTTGGTGGTGCTATAAATGACATACAAAAGTTTCCAACCTCGTCATTCCTCCTGACTGCAGGTTTGACTACCTCATTCTGGACCATTTCGAGACATCTGATGTTTCGTAAAGTAGAAAATGAGAACTGTTATGTATGTGGTACTGCTCAGTGAATACTCTAATCAACGTTGTACCTCAGCCTCATTTGTTTCTGTCTTAGAGTTTTGTTACGGGTAAAAGTGGAGTTTATTTGGAGGTAGTCATGGTGGACGGACATGCAGTGTGTTAGATTAAATCTTAGATGACTTAAACCGGACTCTGATTACATTCGATTTGGAATTTGCGCAGTTGGAGCAGGTGGAATCCCCTGGTTGCTCATGAACGACCATGTGTCAGTAATAGTAGCTCTCTCACTAGCAGTAGGAGTCTGTATATTTTTAGCGCTTCACACAATTTTGAGGAAGCTTGGTGGAACTAACTTGGTCATGACCGGGTTGGTGTTATACTTGATAGTGTCACATGCAATGTCCAGTGATAATCGCTTGACTGCTTGTACTTCCTTAGAAGAGGTCGGCAAGCAAACGTGTCTTCAAAACGTTTGTTCATGCTGAAAGGGTTGCAGCGTTTTCCCTAGTATCAGTCTTTGACTGATTACATTTATGGATATAGTAGTGAGGGCTTTCTTTGACTAAGCCCAGACATTCCTGGTCAAAATGGCGTTTCTGTTAACAGGTATAGCTGAAATACCATACAGAGTAGCATCAGTAGAAAGGACAAATTAACCAGTGGTGCTCAAGGTGTCGATTCCTCTTATCTTTATCTGACGACCGAGCAAGTGTAGATTTCATCATTTATCAGAGGTGACACAGTTAGTCATACTGGGGAGAGTGTATCAGTTCTTCCCAAGTGGAGAACTCCTTCCTGTTAGTGAACACCACCGTGCAGCTAGTATTGAATCTTTGCCATGGATGGAAACCTTAAAGAGCTTTCAATGAAGGGTCCATGGAATCAGGAGCGACAGACTGCGTGGAATATCGCAGGGCCTGTTAAACAAGAATTCACGACTTTGAGGTCCTTAGCGAAGGTGTCCTCAGCTTCTTTTCAGGTGGCAGAAAGTCTTACATGACAAAGATGAGAAGCCTTTGGAGCTTATCCGGTGGATGGAAACCTTTAGATACTGGACGGTCTTGCAACCTTGACGGCTGAGGTTGGACGTGTTCTGAGGTAGTAATTGGGAGAAAGCTTCTACTGATGGAAAATGCCTTTTGCAAGGTCGGATGACGCGGAAAGCAGCTGCTTTTGTTTACAGAGAAGCGTGAAGCTGAGCAGCTTGCCTGAAACGTCTGGCAAAAAGTACGGAGGGAACGGTCGGAGACCACTCTATGGATCTGCTACGCAAGTCGTGCAGCTGACCGATTCGATTTTGCAGAAAGCTACATCATGTAACGTAGTGTTAGTTCTGAGTGTTGTCGAACAAGATTGTAGAGTTAGTTTACCCGTTTGCCAAGGAGAGCATGGAGGGTTTACCTGTCAACTAGACAGATGTATCATGAATATTTATCAGGACAGTCAAAAGGAAAGTTTGAAGAGAGTATATAGCTCGAGGTAGATGGAGTATCTTTACCTGTGTGGTGTTTCCGATGCAAAAATCCACGAACCAGTAAGTAAAGTGGTTTCCATTGTACATTCCTAGCTCACACCTCCGAACTTGATCTATAATATTAGTCAGTATTTTTGAACAAAGGAGCATGGTAGATACTGAATCGTGGTGCATGTTTGGAATCAGGTCTCTTCTCCTCAAAGAGAGTAAGTAAATGTATGCATTCCCTAACTAGAGCTGTTGACTCTTCTAGGCAAAATGCTGATATTCCTCGTCAGGGTCTTGTCGTCAACACTACTGAATGTGAGTTGCTTGTGAACTGACTTTCATTGCAATCAACTGGTTTCATCAGGGTTAAATGCTGCTAACGGTTCCTGATTACTTTTCCCGGATCGGATTCGTGGAATCATACGGCAAAATAATAAGTCATTGCATGTGCACTCTTTTGTCTTCTAACCATGTCTCAATTTTTTGCCTCTTATACGTGCATTTGCCACGGACTGCTCATGATTGCTTCCCTCCTCTTTCTTAATTAACCTGCAGGCTTCTGTTATGGATACTTTATAAATGTCTTCTCTTTGATTCCGTCTATTTCTTCAGTTTGGTTTGGAGTCCTGCTTCATGTTCTGGCACTTCTAACTGTATCTCACACTATGTATTGCCGCTCCTTGCTTTCATATTTCCTAAACTCACTTGTCTAAGAATGCCTGTCGTGTACTTCTTCAGTTGAAATCTACGCTTGGTATGTATCGGGCTTGTTTCAGGCCTTTTCTTTACTGCTTCTCAGTGATATATCGGGTTATGCCTTGGATAGAGAGCTTAGGGGTGTACCTCTCCAGTCTGCGGTCTTCGATGTCCTCGTGAAGTTCTGCCAGATTCTCACGTGTGGATACAATTTTACAGGGTTCGACCTCAACTTTTTTTATTACAAAGGTGGCCTCGCAGGTGGAAAGTTACTAGCAGATTCGTAATGACAATCAGTTCTCCTTTTCAAACTAATTTAAGACAACCGCTCTTAAATGTAGATTCGATTATGTAAGAGTACTCTACGTATATCATACATATCCCCTGCCTCACAAATTGATGTCATCATGATCAGAATGAAATCCTGATTGTTAAGGTGGAACAATTAGTCCTTGAAAAATAGTCGGTAACGACAAGCACGTGGTATTCGGTTGGTTAGATGTAGGGTAAAGTTAGCACAATCTGCCAATCTTCGCAAGAGAATTGATTGTACGAGAGCGTACTCTACAGATACAGATTGTAATACCTCTTTGTACTGTTGTATGCGCCACATCTTATGGCCAAACAAACACTCATTGTCCGACAGGCCTCCACGGATTTCGTTAACTTATTCTTTCCGCATAATAATCAAGTTTTATATCGTTCGTCTTTCGAACAAATTCCAAGCCATAAGCCTTGCCTGCACATGCTTAGCGTAGGTTACTGGCATTTGATGCAGTCAGCTTTCTCGTGCATGTGGTGGCTTCAAACACGAGTGTGTTTTTAGTTTGTTTATGAAGGCCCTTAAAGTTCGATGTTTTATGTTTTAGTACTGCTAAGTCATCCTAGTCGGTAACACAGTTTTCTGGATTGCACGATGTCTATCTATATCCTGGTCTTTAGCCGGCTCCACTATGGGGAAGGAAGCTTCACTCCATGGGGAAAGTCGGAGCTTCGTTCCATGGCATGGAGTGAAGCTCCGCATCTTCACAGATTGTATCTAGCTCATTCAAGAAATCTGTAATGGAGGTCGGTCTTTTCAGTGGCATTCCATCAATGAAAGCCGACACCGTTTGAGGGTTTTAGGTAAAGTTGTCTTTCTTCTAAGAAGATGGACAAACATGCCCTAGTACAGCTGTCTGCATTTTCCACAAGCGTGCAGAATTTTAAATGAAAAAAAATCATTTTTAGTGGTAGGATAACCCAATTCAGAAAAACTTAACCCGTAGTTTCCTAAAGTTGATACACAAACTGGAATCTAAACTTGCTGAACATCATTCCAATCCAGACTATGTAGAGAATATGGCATAAAGCACTGACATTTCTCCAATACTCGAGATTCTTCTTGATGTAAGAGAAATATAAATGCTCATTGTACTTGTTCTATCATTTGTCGTACATTTATTAAGTCAAATGCAATAGCACATTTCAAACTTCAAAGTCGAAAGGCAAGTTGTGAACTAAGAGTATACGTCCCAGTTCAGCAGAAATTTTTTTTTTGTTTAAGTGCTTCATTGATTTGCTTTACCCAAGACAAAGGTGATAAACAATAGGTTGATCACTTGTAGTAAATTCTGTATTTCTTTTTGTGCAGATTTAGTACACTTTTGAGCAGAAGCAAGCGCTCGCATGTAAGTGTATGTGATTCATCTCTGAAGGATGTCTCCTTAGTAAAGCCAGAGATGATTTTGTTGCATAATAAAGTTTGACAAACTTTCGAGAATATGTTCGGAACCAAATAGTTTGTAAGTTTCTTACGAAAAGTAGAGTTTATCAAATTTTTTTGTAATTTGTCATGTTGAAAGAGGTTTTGGTTCTGCCTTTAAACTTTGCATTATATTCAAGATTTGACGACAGGTAATGAGTTTCGGTTCGTTTTTTTACTGCATATGTTTTTAGTTTCAGAATGTCTATATAATTAATTTCTGGCAAAATTGTAAAAAGCATAAAACACTAGAGTTCCAAATGTTGGCATGTTACAAAGTGTAAGATGAATCTCATTTGGATTTATAATTCAAGTTGTTTACTAAGTGATGTTTTGAATGCAAAGTACGCTGTCGTAACGACTTATCATTAAATTTCAACAATCTTTCTCGGTTGCGTAAATTCCACAAAAAAGAAAAGAAATTTTCTCATGAATCGATATACGAGGTTCGGTTTTACTAAGAAATCTCGCAAAAAAGTATTGGAATCTTCTCTTCTCTTGTAAATTCTAGGTTGAGCCACTATTTTGCCGTAAATATATTCCATGACCAACATATTGAGTATATAGCTTAAATACATGTTTACTTATATTGTTGTAAAATATTGGGGTAAGTCAAATTCGAATTGCATCGCTCTTGGCATTTACAACTATTTGATTTCAAGGGAAATAAGCGTCTTACTGAAGACTATCTGATCTGGAGTAACAATTAAAAAAGAAATTATGCATAAAGGGATATGAGGTAAGGTTATGGCTCCTAAAGATGAAAGATATGTCACCTGAATTATCGTTATAATTATGAACTGTTGGATTCATGTTCAAGAAATCTAATATAAGATTCTTCTAGAGGATCCAACAAGGATTGGGTGCATAAGTGTTCTCTGTGGATCCTCTTGTTGGTCAAAGTTTTTTCTTTGGGTAAGAACTGGATAGCAGCTTTCATGGTCCGCTTGTGTATCCCAAGAAGATGTTGCGAATCTGCAAACGAGAAGGAAACGAGAAGAACTAATTGAGCGAGGGGAGTCTAAGAATCATTGTCGTGGTCTTCTATTATCGCGCACGCTCTGAAACACCTGGCCCAGTCAAGAAGCGAGTTCTGGATAGGAAGAAAGAGATACGCCAACGCGAGCTTTGAGGGAGATGGATTCGCTTGTGTCGAATCTGTCCACGACTTCATTTTGCACGGCCATGTCTGAAAGGGACAGGCGAGGAAAGTGAGAGTGGGATGGAACGTTCGTAATCTTCACGCCCTTAGAGAATCTCGCCTCCCTTGTGTGCGTGTGTGTTCTATTTATGAGCTGTCCATCGGTGACGGCATGCACCAAATCGCCTCCACTTATTATACTTAAGAAAGTCCACGGACCTGGAATCTCTCATAGCCTCAAGAAATTTATGTTCGTTGCTTGTGGTGGGGTGGGCTTTCTAGAAAGTGGGCATAGATCGACAATGGACTCCAAACATGATGTGAAAGCTGATCAACTCCAATCTAAGCAGCGCAGCAACACGATGATCGATGTTCAGATGAACTTACGAGAGTCGACACGAGCTGAACTCAAGCCCTCTTGAGACACTAGAGTTCTTGTACCTTTGCAAGGAAGCAGGTACCAGGAGTGGGATCTAGGTTCTCATGGAAGGATGTTGGTACTCAAGCTTCAATGCACCTGGATCCAAAGCGTACTGTTCCAGTATTTATTAAAACTTTGACGATTGCCTCTCTTTTCGGATCTCCTTTGTCTTAACTCCTCTGGATTGTGGTATCTGTGGAACTTGACCCATTCGATAGACAATTCTATGATCTCCAAGTGCAGATTCAGTGCAAGGTCACATGCAATCGGATTCCTTGGAGTTGAAGATGTATGACAACTCTTTGTTAGATTGGGTTACTTCATTAATGGTGGTTTGAACTTTCGAGTTGTATTTCCTACCCATGTTTTGACTTGAGGCTTAGATTCTCTCAATTGTGCTACTCTGCACCTCTTGCATCTTATCGCTCACAAGATTATGCCTGAAGTCGTTTCCTTTAGGATGTATACGTGAAATCGGAAAGATGTAACCTAGTAAAAGTTTGGGGGTCAAGATCTAAAAACTTTGGAAAACACCTAGAATCAGGTTTCTTGTTGAATGTGGATGTTGATTCATGATTCTACATCCACATTGGCTTTAGCGCTTCCACGCTGCATAGATGTTTGACTAAGAAAAAAATTATGTATCTAATAAAACAAGATGTATCATTGTACTTTCATATCAAATGATTGCATCTCGTACAAATAAAAATAAAAATAAGGAAGAAATAATACATTTTTTATAATTTTGAGAGGCTAGATATGGATCTTTTATGAACAATGCTTTTCCTCCAAAATTTAGTCGAAATGAATCCATTGAACAATCCATAAACCCCTAAAATTTTAAATTACAAATGATGACATCGAAAGTACACAAATGACGATGTTCCAAATCTGGTGGTTGAGAAAGACTACGGGCTCTTGGGCATGCCCTTCTGGGACAGGAGTACGCTCGTCTGCACTTTCTTGAGCATCCGACGATACCAGTCCATTCGCATAAACACATGACGGCACTAGGACGGCAAGGATCGATTGCATCGGACGACTCAAAAAAATCAAGCTAGGGCCCTAGAAATTGCTTATTATAAGACTGGTTGACGTATTTTGAGGGATGCCGTGGGTCTTCGGATTTATGCACCGGGCGATTCCCAGTGCATA